CGCTGAGACTACTATCCGACTAATGTGCAGGAAATATGAGAGTTAATATGTTCGACTGTGCCGTGGCAATATGGAGGACCAAAACTGCCAAAATAATAAACTAAAGAATAAAGCCCCACAGTATTTATTGATCCAATTATTAATAACAAATAAAATGTGTATTATTAAACTTTTTGTGGTCAAAATGAAATATACTGCATACATTATTATTTCGTTTATTTATTTGTTAAATAATTTTTGTTTTATTTTAATTTATTTATTTTTTAAGCCTGCTTTATTTTATTTTTATCTCAAACTTTGTAGTGATATCTTATTTTTTTCACCAATGTTGACATGTATTTATTTATCCATTCATTCATTATTTAGTCCTCTACAGCGGCATTTCTTGCTAAACATTTCTTCATTTCTTCAGTCTAAACAGAATATTCTAGTGTTTAGATCAGCTGACCCCACTGTCTCAGGTTAGAGTCCTGGTTTAGCCCCAACTCTAAAGCCTTTTCTTATTCACCCATGGCACAGATCATAATAAAGATAAATTAATTAATTGAATATATGAGAATAAATGGAGACAATGTGTTTTGATACAGGATTTTTAGGTACTGCAAGGTGAAACTAGTACTTTTACTAGTTAATTAGAATATCGTTAAAAAAATTCTGTGATTCAACTTACAATGTGAAGCTATTATATGACCGACCCATGCAAAGTGAGATTAATCAAGCCTGGGTTCAGTTCCATCTCAAGAGCTTTCTGTGTCGGTTTCGCAAAGGTTTCCTCCGGGTGCTCCGATTTCCCCAACATCCAAAAACATCTATGATAATATGGATGTAATGAGGGAGTGTTGGTCAGAGGCTTCGATGTTCTGCATCTCGCTTTTGTCATCATTGAGTGGCGTGAATTGCTCCAAAAAGACTCTCGTAGTAATGTTTATTTAAATAGTGCATTTTACAGACCAAGGTCACCCAAAGCGCTTTACAATGTTCAGAGTTCAGATATTGTTCCGATCATTCCACACACGGTGATGACAGAAGCGAGTTGCCGAACACACTGGTGCATCAGCTCCAATCAACACCATCCATTCACTCTCTATTTTACGGAAGCTTGTTAGGTTCACTTGTGAGTGTTTTTTTTTTTTTGTCGCTGGTATCATGTTATTTTATGATACTTTCATGAAATAACATGATAAATATCATGTTATTTCATGATACCAATTTATTATGTTATTTCATGAAATAACATGATAAATATCATGTTATTTCATGATACACAACTATCATGTTATTTCATGATACCAATTTATCATGTTATTTCATGATACACAACTGTCATGTTATTTCATGATAGCAGTTTATCATGAAATAACATGATACTGTAGATACAAAAGAAGAAGCTGTCAGCTTCTTCTGCTAAATTGGTATCATGAAATAACATGATAGTTGTGTATCATGAAATAACATGATATTCATCATGTTATTTCATGAAAGTATCATGAAATAACATGATACCAGCGAGAAAAAAACACACTCACAAGTGAACCTAACAAGCTTCCGTACTATTTTACATTCATACCTATTGTGCATGTTTTTAGTGGTAGGGGAAACCGGAGCACTGGGAGAACATGCAAACTCCACTCAGAAAGGCCCTGTTCCGAACGGGGTTCGAACCCTAAAGCAATTGGCGCTAAATAAATAAAAAATACTTACATACTGACTGCTAAAGTTCACAGCTTGTAAAAACCCCAATTGAAACATCTAATACAATTAGAACATTATGAAAATGTACTGTAAGCCACAATCATAACATTATAACAAAGACTTGGCATATGTCATTTGTATGTGAAATATGTATAATTAGTCTATATCATGTATTAGTTTCACATTTTAGGTTTAATTATGAAAATTAATGAACTTTTGAACAATATTCTTATTCTCAGGTTTTACCGTTTTGTTTAGATTCTAAAATGCTCCATTTTGGACAAGAAAATGTCATTTAAAACACAAAATAATTGTACTTTTTATTGTAATTTTACATTGGCTCTGTTATATTATAAAACTGCTCATAAATGTTTATTTCTTTAGTATTGATACTTGCTCAAAAAGGTTTCAAAACTAGTTTTAGTATCTTTGACAATCCAGTCCTTAGTCTGTCATATATTAGTGTCACATTGTCAAGTTGAATCATAGAAGTAAATGGACTTTTGAAGGATTGAATGTGAAACTTTTGTGGCTGGATGCAGTTATGCTTGACGTTCCCTCAAGAAACAGATACCCTCATGTTCATATTTGACCATGCTGAATCTTACATTTAAAATTGGTAATATCTATTCAAAAAGGTACATTTTGTTGAGTTTCTTGTGTGTGTTCTTTTGAAAGACAAGTTACATGCATTGCAAAAGACCTAATGAATACAGCCATACATCTCACCACAAAAAGAAGTTTTTTTCCCCCCAAATGATTGAGCTCTAGAAGACAGCATTGAGCATATGTGGAGCTTGACCATTCCTGAAGCCATTTCCCTCTGCCACTTAGCTCCAACAGGAGGCAGCAGTGGAGGCAGCAGTGGAGCGCTCCGCCATTGCCAGCACAGATGCCCTGCTCCGTGTGGCCTTCACACACTGAAAGGGGCAAGTCAAATTTGGCGTGACCCTGATGTGTCATCTTGATTTAGCGAGTATTTTCACCATAGAGCCACCGAGTCCTTTGATATTTGTGTGCGTCTTGTGCATGTGCGAGAGCCTAAGCCAGAGACGCTGCTTTCTCCTCTATAATCCCACCAGTGCAGAGCTCCTGGGAAGAACAGGGCATTGCTGCTTGTAAATGGAAGGGTCTAATCTCGCTCAGGCACTAGTGCTGGAGGGGCTTCAAGCTTTTTTGAGTGTTAGAATGAGAAATGCAATCCTTAAAATGGTATCACCGTATTTTAAAGTAGTTTATTTTGAGGATATTTATGACTAATATGGATGAATGCGACTGTGTTTGCAAATTCAGTGGAATTAATGATCTGGCCTACCTACCATTCACCAGAGCGGAGGAGCCATGCGAGGTGAAAGACATCAATGCCATAATATATGTGATTTGGGAATATTTAATAAAAGAGCTGTAATTGATAATAGCTAATTATGCAGAAACCACAGCAGCAGATCGCCCTGATGATGCTGGTGTCTTTGTTTCATCCCCAGGGACAGAGCTTTATACAGTGCAAGTCAAAGGCAACACTGCCATCTGTTGGACAATGAAGAGTAGGCAGTTTTATCTGAACCCTTAATCTGATTTATGCCTTAATTACATGACTTCCACTGTTTCTCTTTGAGCATCGACTGAGAACTCAGCTCCAGTTACACAAAAAACCTGTTTGTGTGTGTAAGTAAAGTGGTCATCGAGCCACAGTATTACTGCTGAATTACTGCTACATACGTTCAACACAAATATTCACTACTTAGGAGTTGAAGAAAAATGTAAATGATGAACTCTGATTAGTTGTGAAGTTGTATTTTTTATTTAAAAGAAAATTATTGAAAGTATAAAACAGTGGCATTTTCTTCCAGAGAATTAACAATTATTTTTTTTCTAAATGATATGAACAATTTCTGTCTGAACAGTCTCTGACATCCAGGTAGTCTAAAAATAAAGCATTTAAATAAAAATGGACGAATACCCCATAATTCTACCACTCTACTTGTGTCAAACAAGCAGACCAAGATATTCCCTCAGCTATGTTACACACAGAAAGCTAAAGTCTAAACAGGCATCTCTTGGAAAGACGTGTTCCTGCACTTTACCTAATGAAGGGAGTGAATCACAGAAGAAAATACAAAATACAAAAACATGGTTAAAATAATCCATGATACGCATGAGTACACTAACCTCAACAAAACTAAGTATTGATAATCATTCCGCTCGGCGCAATGATAGTCTCACAAGAGTAAATAAAATAGAAGCACTTGTGTATAACCATTTCAGACCAGTACAGTAAAATACTCCTGCATTTCACTGGGGTTAAAATACTACATCTAAATCAGTGTTGACCTACAGGTGGCACTCAATAAACACGTGTCCAATTGACTTTGTACACTACGTTGTAATGCTGATTTAGAGCGTGAAGTAAAGTAACAGTTTTGCATAAAAAATGAGGCACAAAAAGTGTCGGACAGTGGAATGTTTCACAAATGTAACTACAGACAAAATGAACCGCGACAGAGGAGCTGGATGCAGTAACATCTCCTCCTCACTGAGTACATAATGCAGCTACTTCCTGTTCAGAATAAATAAAGCATCATCTGCTACAAACGTTACTGTTGCTCAGTCATGTATTAGTCCCACTCTCTGCACTCAGACAACCTGGCCAGAGGCTGAATAGTAGATGGATGCCAATACACCCACATATAGTCTTGAAAACCAGATACAAAAAATATATTGATTACAACTGTTCCAGCAGCAAGTATTTCTACATTGTTTCAGATATAAAATAAAATCTGAGTTAATATACTGAATAGAATAAAGACTGAAAGAGAAAGCAGCTATTTGAAACAAGTCTCATTGTTTAGTTATCTACTGGTGTCTGCTTTAGTTTAAGATCTGTCCGTATCGTGTTGTTAGTCTTTAGTGGATATGTCCAGTTATTTTTCTTATGAAAATAGTGTTCTAAAAAGACAGGATTGCAAAATCACACTTATTAAAATAGGAGTTCCAAAGGATGGAGTGACTTGCCATCTAAGACACACATCTGACCTGTCTTTGGCTATTAAGGCATGTTAGGTCATCAAATGAACTCACCAAATGTTTCATATTAGCATAAATGTTAACGTTTTCAACACTGCAATGTCTCTTACTTATGAATCTTAAATTGAAAACCACAATAAGAAAAATTGTGGCTTCGAAACAGTCGGTCTATGTGAGCACCTTTACATTGTTCTCATATTTGTAAAATACGTGTGGAGAGCAAACACCTAGAGCGTGATCAGCACTCACAGTATGCACTTATAAGTGAAAGATTAGCCCTCAGGTCAGGGGTCGGCCTCTGGGGCACGGGGACCTCCACCTTTTGCCTTGATCTGGAGCCATGTGGCACCAAGCGCTTTGGCAAAGTGATCGTCCACTGAACCGGTAATGGACACAGTGTTGGACTCCGCCTCAGAGTAGTCCTTCCCGAGGCTACGGCGGAAGTGCTCCTCAATCACAGGATCACACACAGTGTGATCTGAAACAAAGAAAACAATATAAATATATATATATATATAGATCTGTGTAGTCCATATATTATGACACTCACCATTGGCCTTTTTCTGGTCAGAATCTTGGCTTGAAGAACCATTCATGTGACAGTGAGATAGGTTACAGTTACGGTTGTTTGCAGGAGCACAGATTATCACTGATGGGCGATTCTGTAAATATATGTTATTATTAATTTCTTGGATGTATTTATTGCAGAGACACCAATTGTACATTGTTCACAGACCTGCTGTCGCTCTGCACTGCCTGCACTCACAGGCCTGTCTATGGCTGCAGTGTCAGGCTCGATGGCGCTTCTGGCCAGAGACAGAGGCTGTTCCGCAGCGAAGCCTGGGATGGAGGCATACAGGTGGTTTCCATGGAGACCGTTAGAGGCAGAGAGGTGCTCAACAGGAGCAGGGTTGTAGCTCCAGTGCTCATTGCGATTGTTCCCAGCAGTAGGTCTAACCCTGAATGAGAATTAAACACTCAATTCATGCAAATGCAAGTGGATAATGTGCTTGTATTGCATTATACTGACATTTGGGAGGCAAAAAGACGCATTTTGGCCATGTGGTCTTCCTCAGTGTTAATTTGATCTTCCATTTGTTCTCCATATTTTCGTTTACTGGGGCAGTGTGAGGGAGGTCCAGTGATACCAGTCACTGGGGTAGACAAGGCGGCTGCCCTGGACTCATCTGAAAGAATGGATCAAATAATGTGTAACAGCTGCCGTACAAGTCAGCTGTATGGGCTACACACCCCATACAGCAGAGGAGTAGGGGTCATGTTCAGAGGCAAAAGCCACAGGAACTTTCAACAAACCAGGAAATGCGCTGATGAATTTCTTGAATTAAATTACCAATGATAAGCACACTTCACTTAATGACATTTATGAAGTGATTAGGTTTCGTTATTTATCACCTGAATAAGGACAACCATGAGAGTGGGATAATTGTAAGCTTTGTATTTGTATTGTCACATTGAACCAGATGCAATCTTACCAGCTGCTGCTGTGCACTTAAGGAACTTTAGCTGTAGACACAAGCTGCTTGACCTGCTTTTATCATGTTCACGCCATCACCCCTGTATAGCTCTGCAGTACAGAGGAGGACAGTCCCCAGTACACGGCCCCTCTATTCTCAGCTGTGGAAATAGCGGTATCGTGGACCAATGATGAAAGTTAAAAGTTCTAGTTTACCCTGGCTCACGCCACACTTCTGGACTCTCACTTTCAATAATATTGCGAGACGATTGCAGCTCAATATAATGCACACTCAACTCATGTTCAAAACCCCGTTTATCTAGAGCATTATTACCCATTCACAAGCATGGGTTTATAGAAATAGGCCAATACGGAGGCGAGTTTAAACCTTTTGGATACAAATACCACAGACCTACACTAAATTAATATTGTATAATAATTTACTTTCTTAACATTTTAATAATAGTATTGACTTTCATTTTTATCAATGCGATTTTACAGCAGCACACATAATGTCATAATGTTTCTGCCAAATGCGCTGACTGTACCAGGGGTGGCCCATTACAAAGGGTTAAAACGTAGTCCACATAGCCCACTTTTTAGCTCTTATATTGCTGTACTATTCATATTTAAAAAGCAACACATGTGTAGCATTCGCCATGAGTATAGATGTAATGCCACAGTAGTAACCTTCAAAGTAGAGTCTGCCGAGGTTGTTGTTCATCTTGTCCAAGTGCTGAGAGTTCAACAGGTCCATCATAGACAGGAGCATCACACGGACACACCGCAGGCTAACATTGATGTTAGCGACAACCTGCAGTTACAAAACACAGGAACAGTTACTTGGAAAATAGGTAATTGTGGAAATGAAAACACGCCACAGTGTTTTTCCCAAGGCTGCTGGCCTGGGCTACTTAAGGTTAGCTTGAGCCTGCACTTTCCAACGCTAGCAACAAACATGTTTAAAAGCTCGACTCCTCAAATATTACAGTGAAGAAAGACCAAAGAAAATGAAAGATAGCTTGTTTATTACAGTCACAAATGAACAATCTGTGTGTAATAACGACGGTGTTCGTCGCTGCTAGCTTAACAAACTGGCTAATTTAGCCAACTTTGGCTAACGCCACTTTGTCGTATGTTCTAGCTAGTTGTATACCAAGCTTATACGCATCTACACGAATAAAAGTAGTTCTACTTGAGCTTAAAGTCCGAGAAAGTCAGTCTTACGGTGAGGCCACGACAGGCGGGTGGTGTTTAGACAATAAAAACTACAGCCAACACTTGTTTACAGCCACAAAATAGTGTAGAGCGCTGTAGCTCGTCGACAAGTCCTGGCTTCATCCACAATAACATTAGCAGCATTAGCATTAGCATTAGCATTAGCATCGGAGCTGACCACTGCTCCCTGCCCCTGCCCCACTCAGATCATACTGCCCCTGCCCCTCTGTCCTGCAGACTCTGGGTCGCTGCCCCACAGCGGGTCACACAAACCAAATGACTGCATTATGAGGACTGCTTCTTTTCGAAATGAACGAAGTTTTAAAGGTTGTTGTGCATTTTAATTTATAAAACGTAGATAATACAACGTCGCCATATCCGCCACTATAAAGTTAGCACTGTCAAAAGAAAGACAGATACATTTAAGTTAACTTGATTTTTCTGTATCTTATTTTCTCCCTTTCTCTTTTTTGCAAATGTGAACCTTGAATGTGTCTTGCATTTGATACCTTGCAGATACATGACCTGACACTACCAGCTGGTGGCACTAGATACCTTCTGCACATTGTGAGCCAGTCCTTTTCATGTTGCACATCAATGCCAACTACCTTAATTTCACTCTTTACTTTGATTTTAGATGAATTTAAATGAGACCTATTAGAATAATTAAAGGCCTTAGTTAGACTATGGATGCAAAGACAACACTCCCCATCTGGCATTATGTTTTCCTGTTGGGTGTAGTGGGTGCAAGCCTGCCAAATGACGTATCCCCATACTAATCAATCACATAATTTATCTTCACCAGTGGCTTGAAGAGTGTAGAGTTCACAGAGACAGCCTACTGATGTCAGAAAATGCAATTGCAGTGATGTCACAACATTACAGTGTTGGATATGACCTCTCTGTCCTTTATCGTATTGAACTATTCAAGGTGATTCATCGTTTTGATTATGGGTTTGCGTTCCTGTGGTTTATAATAACAGTTAGAGAACCTTTTGCAATCATAGCTGTTTCACAGTAAAATTTTGCAAATGAGAATCTATGTATTTTATTACTCATATATGACATTTTTTTTCATGTTATCCACTTTACCTTCTGGTCCTCACAGTTAACAAATTAAGTTATTAAAAGGAAGATAAGGATGTTCAAATCATAGCGGTCATACAGCCATGCTCTTCCAATGGTGGAACCCCTGTGTTATTTCCCTTTGCTGTAGCTCCAAAAGCATGACGCCTGTGAAGCAGCTGAGGCTGGGGGAGGGGTGGAGAGGAGCGAGCAGGGAAGGAGAGGCTGAGGCATTGGATCTCGGTGAGGGGAGAGAGAGGGGCTGATTGGCTGAGGGGGGCTGCATCGTCATTGCCTGTGTGTAGAGGCTCTGAGGATGCTCCACTGAATGCATTCACTGGGAGTTTACCTTCAGAGCTCAGCCATTATCAGCCACTACACACAAGACAGTAAAGAGGGATATCGTGTACGCACATTCACCTGTCTTCATCTGCTTCGCTCTCCCAATCTGCAGGCATGAATTACTTGCGTCGGCGCCTCTCAGACAGCACTTTCATTTCTAATCTTCCTAATGGCTACATCTCGGACCTCCAGAGGCCTGACCCGACGCAGCCGCCTCCTCCGGCTCAGGCTCCGTCCGCCAAGTCTCCCACCGCACCCGGGCCCACACCTCCGGCCACGTCCCCCGTCCCAGAGAAGAAAGCCCAGCCGGCGCAGTCCACGGGGGCCAGCTTCTTCAGCTCCATCACCAATGTTGTGAAGCAGACAGCAGCCTCAGCCGGGCTGGTGGAGCAGACCCAAGTCACGACGTCCAAGAAGTTCAAGATACTCCTGGTGATCGACGAGCCCTCACAAGAGTGGTGAGATACTTTTAGAATACTGATCATATTCAGTCTTAATATCTTCTACCCTTGGGTTTGGATTCAGGCAACATTTTCTTGACCCTTTATCCATTCAAAACATACAATACGTTGTTTTAAATTGGGGAACAATGTATCACAAGTGGATAAGAATGGGGATAAACATGATAAGAATTAGATTACATACAATATTTCTCAAACAAACAGCACGATTGAACTCATTTAGGATGTAACCCAAATCATACCTGGCTTAAAAAACAGACATATTGTATTCATAACATCAACCCATGCATTAGTAAGTCAATCGAATTTCAAATACACACACACGATTGTAGCTCGGTTTTCCCTGAACACACGTTATGAATATTTGATGCCTCTCATCCTCTGCATGTTGCGCTGCAGTGTGTCTCTTTATCAATGGGGTTTCCCTGGGATGCCATATATGCGGGGTCACATGACATACCCCGCACATAGGAGAAGGATACATGCTAGAGCCGAGCACGAGGCAAACAGAAATCAAATGAATCTTTTTCTCCTCGACGGACACAAAGCTCCACCGCACCATTAACCACAGCTATTACGTAATCGATAGAAAGAGTCATTTGAGCCGATTTGGACCGGTTTTAGAAAGAATACACGTCTTTCCATGTGGAGCCCACTTGCTGTGCTTATTGACCCACTGTGCATATGACTAGCACTATTTTAATGGAATGGCACGTTGCTGGATATCTCAATAGTTTTACCCCCACACATGTGTTTGATTACAGCGCTGTCGTTTTGCCTGCGCTGACTTTAATGGCCAATTATCAGCTGCCACCTAGAGATAGAAAATCAGAGCTAAGTATGTGCTTCGAATACACAGCAGTGGAGTTGTGCAATTACTGTTTGTGTTTTTAACCAGTGTGTTAGTGTGCTTTGAGATGTTATTTGGTGCGCCTTTGGAAATTATACAATATCACCTGGTTTGTCCAAATAATATGTCTTTTTAATATTCTCACATTATTTTCTAAAGACATCTTTGCGCTGGTTTGATTTTCTATATAATACACATTGATGGGAATGTTTTTGTATTGTTTGTTGAGTTTCAGTTTGGTCTCAGTTTCAGCTGGTGATGTGCCGCGTGATTGTTTTTAATGAAAAAGGTTTGCCATGGCTCAAAAAGGTCGGACTCAAACCTCTACTTTAGGGCTCCCCTCAAGCATATCCTCACAAAATATAGATTTAAACCATGTTGAAAGAGCATAATTCTCATTCTCGGACCAGTCTTGCGCTACTTACACACAGGCGTGAGACAGCTGAATTATTGAGGAGAAATGTCAATCAATAATAATTGGATTATATGCTACAGTGGTCTCTTGCAATTCTCAACTCCCACACACTATTTCTTTCATATCTGATTTCCCAGTTTTTTTACAATTATCATGAGTCATCTGAGGACAATACTGATTTTGACAATAACAGTTGGATGCATTCTCGTATCCTCGTCTGTGGTCTGTGCTCACTTACAAAGCTTTCTCTTGGGTGGGTTAGTGCCGCATCTATTTTTTATGGCTCCGTGGTGTTTGCACTTGTTTTTCTCAGTTCCATTTGCTGTTGGTGTGATTTTCCTTTTGCATCACATTCAGGCATCTAAACATTAGATCAAATAGCAAACTATACACATTTCACATCGATGCGAATGACAAGCCATCAAAGGCACACATCAAAGTGAATACAGAAGGGCTGTGTTCTGTCACACATGCATTTTGAATAGTACACGGCTATATTTGGTCAGGCCTGAGTTTACATTATATTGATGAAGCAGTCAGACAAGGGAGGACATGTGTCTGCTCCTTTAGAGGGTGTGCTATAAATTTCTCCTGGCAGGAAGAGCAGATGGCACTGTCTTCTGAATCCTCACCACAAGAATATTATCATTTGCAGATTCTGTGTGTAGTTCAATAAAGCATAACTTTTCATTTCATGCAGTTACAAAAAACATAGTATAGATGCAGCTGGTGTCTGCCAGGTCAGGTAATGCCTTTACCCTGATTGGGACATGCAACAGATGTAATAAGACTATTTTCTGGCTAATTTGAACCCAGACGGTCATTGATTTCAAACTTTTATATAAAAGGACATTAAAAAGCTGTATTGTGCATCACTATTCGGCATTCCTCTGAAACCTGCAAAAGTACATTTGATAAGGGATCGTCAGGGCTTAAGATTGATCTTTCACGTTACATAGTGATGTTTTAGATTGTAGGTCTGCTATGGTTCCCTCCGGGTGCTTCGGTTCCCTCCTGGTGCTCCGGTTCCCTCCTGGTACTCTGGTTCAGGGGTTCCCAAAGTTTTTAGCCCGCGACCCCCCCCCCAACAGCCCTTCCGTCACATGAAATGAGCATGTATTTCCTTGATACGGAGTAACGCTTTCTAGAGACTCACGCCACTACCGAGCTGCACTGTCCAGCCCAAAAAAGGAGGCTTGCATATTTTTATTCATGTAGTGACACAGTGATGGGCTTGGTGGGCTCCCTCCTCAGCAGAAGTGGAGCGCATTTCTTGCGGCTCGCCTTCACTGTTCTCCTACCGCGGTAAAGTGGGCCGGCTTTCCGGAGTCAGCGGTAAAGAGGTCCGCACATTAAAAGTGGGCGGCCGCTTTCTGCTGTTACTTTATGCGGTTCATCCCCGCGGCTTCTCTTTCCAAAGTTACTGTCAGTAAAGGCATAAACCGGCCACCCGCTTTTAATGTGCGGACCTCTTTACCTTTGACTCCGAAAAGCCGGGCCTCTTTAACGCGCTGTTCTACCGCTGTCCTCCCTCCCTCCGCTGCCCTCTCTCCCTCCTCTGCCCTCTCTCCCTCCTTTGCCCTCTCTCCCTCCTTTGCCCTCTCTCCCTCTCTTCGCACCATCAGCCTGACCCCTGATACAAGTGACTTTTCTCCCCCTCCGGGTTTTTCTGTTGTGGATATTAACCACGTTTCATTTTAAAGCAGGTATTATTTATTTGTAGCCTCCAAACACCTTTAGTTTTAGCAAACAACAGCAGGACACGCTTTGTCGCTGCGCATGATGTGAGCTGTGTTACGTGATGATTTTGATTGACGCTGCAATGACTGGGACAAAATTACTAACGTTATTAAAATATATTATAGTCTCCAAACACAATTTAACAAGTAGTCCTTTTGAATCAAATCAAATGCTAAATAAATATTTATATATAAAATTAAATATAAAATTAAAAATTAAATATAAAAAATCTTTTTTTTTTTTGTGTGTGGAAATCATCTTGCGACCCCCCCAGGGGTTCCCGCGACCCCCCGGGGGGTCGGGACCCCCACTTTGGGAACCACTGCTCTGGTTTTCCCTAAATATGTAATATGGGACTGTGATAGGAATGTCAAAACTAAGGCCCGCAGGCCAATTGTAGCCCTCTGTGTAGTTTTATTTGGCTAAAACAAAGTGGTCCTTGAGATCATAAACACAAGTTCATAGTCATCCAGCCAACTTTAGCTCAGTCAATATAGGAGTAGTATACCTCATTATAAGCTAAGTACCTGTGGAATTCAGCCAAAATGGTTTTACAATGCGAGTTGCTGGCCCCTGGACATGCTTGGTTAACTAAAGTGGCCACTAAAAAGTACACATCTGGACTCGATAAAAACTGCCCTTGAGTAAAAGCCTAGTACATTTAAAATAGCTGTTTATTAATATAATTATCACATTCAAATAAATAAACTGAACTATTACCTATTTTAATCATTATATTTCTAATAGAGAAGACTAAAAACAGTGTGGGGTACAAAGTGGAGTGACTGATATGCATTTCCAGTCAGTGAGGGTCTGCTCATCACACTTACAACTGCCCGTCAGTCAAAACTGCACGTTCTAAGCTTTCAGTTTGCTTGTATTGAATTTGTAGTTATGTAAATGGATGCATTGACCGAGCAAAATGACCCCGCTTTGGCTCCATCTTGTTGTAGTTGATGAGAAAACTATTGATTGGAAACAAATATATTATCTGAAACAACCAGCCATCTCCAATCTCCTTCTAAACCGCCGCCAAGATGTCGTCCCCAGAGAAGAGCTGGTCTTTTATTGCTCCTTGTCCTGGACCTGTAGCTTGTGTCGTATCCCAATGACACCGAGAAATAAAGCATCACTCACTGCAGTTGTTGTTTTTGTGCAGGCTGTCCATTTTTCTCCGTTTTTCTCCGTTTCTTTCCGTTACTTTTTGGAGATTCTATGAAATTGGATTGTTTTTTTGTGTGGAAAGTGCTATAGTCCCATTGCTCATCTGAATGACAAGGCACTTTCTAGACAGAACATCCCACTACCTAATAGGAAGTGTAAATACAAGTCTGGTTTATTCATCTGTTTTCATACTGCAGGACGGCTTTAGAATTTGGGGTTAGTGTCTGGAGGGAAAAGCTGTGATTCATTTTTAAAGTTTGCCTCTCTCCTGCGCAGATCTGCAAGCCCAAATTAGGCTGATGCAATAAATTATTCAGCTTTGCCTCCTGACTAATTACGTTGCCACCCATCCACAGTCTGAAATTAAGAAGACAAGAGGTTCTCGCTGTAGTTTCTTTGATGCTGTAGATAGTGATAGTGTGCAACTTTTGTCCTAAAGATCATACACATTAATTTGAATATTATAGAGGGGTGCAAATGTTTGGACAGTGAAGGTAAAGATGAGACCATAATCTTTAGCAAAGGTAAAGCGGCTGAGCGTAACTTTCAAGACAAAAAACGTAAATATAAAAAACTAACCCTAACCCTAAACTATCTCTTGGGTTTGCATTAGGGCTTTTCATTAAAGTCACTGAAGACTTTGCCCTTAAAAATATTTTTTTATCTTTCCGCTTAATATTCAAGTTTCAAAACTATTTTTAATTTGTTTCCCCCAATATGTTTTATGAAAGTCTTGTACAGACTGTGCTGATATTGCAAGTATAATTCATGTGCTGCTGGAACTCTCACAATATCCTTCATTCGATTTAACAATTTTCACAAATTGGATTTT